CAGGTAGGAGCAGCATGTCCAGCCACTGTAATGGGGCTGCCTGTGGTGGACAGTCCATAGGTCCCTGCACAGCAGCGAGTAAGTGTGTGGAGAGGAACTGGGTTAGGATGCATGGGAAACCCCTGCTCTGTGAAACAATGCCTGGACATCATCAATTCCAAAATAGCCAATCTCTTTGTTCTTTGGGGTTTCACGCAAAGTCACCTGCATGCAAGTCTGTTTGCCCAAAGCAGGACCAACCCAACTAAATCAACCCAGCCAGGACTTTGTCGGAGATTCCACCCGCTCCCTAGGGAACCCAGCCCAGTGCTTCACCAGCCTCCTAGGGAAATAGTTTTTCCTAATATCCAACCTACACCTCCCGCACTGCAACTTGAGACCATTGCTCCTTGTTCTGTCATCTGTCCCCACTGAGAACAGCCTCTCTCCATCCTCTTTGGAACCTCCTTCAGGTAGTTGAAAGCTTCTATCAAATCCCCCCTCACTCTTCTGCAAACTAAACAAGCCCAAATCCCTCAGCCTCTCCTCATAATTCATGTGCTCCAGTCCCCTAATCATTTTGGTCACCCTCCACTGGACTCTCTCCAATGTGTCCACATCCTCTCTGTAATGGGGCGAGGACCCAGCCCTGGATACAATATTCCAGATGTGGCCTCACCAGCATAAATAAAGGGGAAGAATCACTTCCCTAGATCTGCTGGCAATGCTCCTCCTGATGCCCCCTAATATGTCGTTATCCTTCTTGGCTACAAGGGCAAACTATTGACTCATCTCCATCTTCTCATCCACTGGAATTCCCAGGTCCTTTTCTGCAGAACTGCTACTTAGCTAGTCGGTCCCCAGCCTGTAACAATGCTTGGGATTCTTCCGTCCCAAGGGCAGGACTCTGCACTTGTCCTTGTTGAACCTCATCAGATTTCTTGTGGCCCAATCCTCCAATTTGTCTAGGTCACTCTGGACTCTATCCCTGCCCTCCAACATATCTACCTCTCCCCCTAGCTTAGTGTCATCTACAAACTTGCTGAGGGTGGAATCCATCCCCTCATCCAGGTCATTAATGAAGATGCTGAACAAAACTGACCCCTGGAGCACTCCACTTGGCAGTGACCACCAGTCAAACATTGATCACTACCTGTTGAGTCAGATAATCTAGCCAGCTTTCTATCCACCTTACAGTCCATTTATCCTATCCTGACTTCCTGAACTTGCTGGCATGAATACATGGCTCCATCGATGGAGCCATGTAGATTAGGCTGATCGGCAAAGGGAAATGAAGCAGTGATTTAAATAATTGTGGCTTCATTGAAATTTAAATGGCTGCTGCGCCGAGCCGACAAACAGCTGATCAGCTCTTTGTCGGTTCAGCGCGCTAGTCTGGACACTCCCGCGCCGACCTGAAAGCCTTTAATGACCTCCCCATTATGCCTCGTAGGATGAGGTTTACTGGGGAGGTCAATACAGGGCTTTCATGTCCAGACTGTCCCGATCTGCCGACAAACAGCTGATCGGCAGAGTGGGGCAGCCATTTAATTTAAATGAAGCTGCAATTATTTAAATCACGGCTTCATTTCCCTTTGCTGAACAAACAAATCTACATGGCTCCGTCGATGGAGCCATGTAGTCTAGACGTACCCTGAGAGACCATATAAAAAAAAAAGGTAAACAAGGCAGCTTGGCCAGGACTGGGCCCTTTTTGGCTCAAGAGTGTGTAGAAACGATGAATCCCAAGCTTGGACCATCCTTCTGCGGCCGGGCACCATGACTCAGCCAGAATCTGTCACGCTCTCTGTTTCCCTCAGCCTCCATACGCCAGTGTCTCCACAAGAGACATGAGATCTGAAAACAACTTCCGCGTATTCCTCGAACTGACGTCCCCATCTTTGGTGTGAGGCATATGGAGCAAAATGGCCAAGAAAGGATCTTTCCATCGGGTCTTAGAACCAAAATTAAACTGACAAGCGCCACGACCTTCTAGTGCAGCTCTCTTCCCATCCTGCAGCCTCCGTCCACAGAGCAGGCCCAGGGAGCTCATGCCGACCCCTCTCCTCAGTGTAGGACTCACCTTTCCACCCAGTTCTTGTAGCTGGGGATGTCCTTGGCATACAGAAGCTTGTTAGACGGGGAGTCTTTGCCCAGACGGTGCTCCGAGGTGGAACAGGAGTCCATGAAGGTCTGAGCCACCACCGAGAGGCAGGCATCGGTGATGCTGTTCTTGTGGATGTCGAATACGAACTGGGGGTTTTTGATCATGTTGACCCAGAACCGTAGTGGCAAACTGCAGGGGGGAAGGCAGAGGGGAAGAACATGGTTCAGAGTCAGAACACCATTCCGACCCATCCTGGCTAATCGCCATTGATGGACCTAACCTCCATGAATCTACCTAGCTGTTTTTTGAACCCTGTTAAAGTCCTGGTCAAATTCCTGGCTCAAATTCCTCCCTGGTGGGACTCTACTCAATTCACCTTGAGTAGCATCTGACTCTGCAAAGGGCCCCACTGAAACTGGTGGAACTAGCAGGGCTGGCAGAGAGGGTCCCTCCTTAAGGTCTGTAAATGCCTCGCAAGGGTGCTGGAACGAGACCCGCCTGCTAATTGCTCCCCCAGACGTGGCTAGAAGAGGTCATATACCTGCAAACCGTAGAACTATCTGTGCTTGTAAGTGGGGAGCGGGTCTGAATTTTCAGTCTCAGCAATACCTGGGGTGGGCAGGGATGTGTAACACTAAAAAATGGGGTGTTGGCATTGAGCTTCCCAATTACAATTCCATGCGCTGGTTGAAATTGCCCTGGGTGGTAACCACCCTGGCCGTGCTATGTAGCTGGACCTCTGGCCTGCCCCCAGCCCCAGCAGGCTGGGTAGAGCACAGCTCGGGGGTAATTAGAAGCCTCTGTGATCAAAGCCCACCCACTGGATCACCATCTTCGGGGCTTTGGCAAGTCTGGTTTCAAATGTCTCCAGGGCAGGGGCATCTGTCACATTACCCCTCATGTTCACAGATCTTCATCGCTGGCCTTTGCCGAGCTACAACTCCCCTTTCCTGACTTGCATCCCATTGCTTCTAGGTGTCCTGGGGGTGAAAGGCACTTAACATTGCTTACAGGTGCTGTCCTAATATAATCAATGGAGATATACCATTTCATAGCACTGGAAGGGACCTTGACAGATGATTGAGTCCAGTCCCCTGCCCTCACAGCAGGACCAAGTACCAGCTCTGACAGATTTACCCCCAAACGGCCCCCTCAAGAATAGAGCTCACACCGCTGGGTTGAGCAGGCCAATGCTCAAACCACTAAGCTGCTGCTACTCCTCCCCGCTTACCTTGGGGCCCTTCCAACTCTTCAAACAGCTCCCTGCTGGCTTTGGTCTCAGCTCTTGCCGGCGCTGCGCACCAGGGTGCACCCACTTCCTTGCACTTCTGCCTGGTTCCCTAACAATTCTCCTCTCTCCCTGGGGTCTACAGCCTGCAGACCCCGCCAGGCAGACGTCCTTTTGGGTTAGTCACCACCTCGTTTTCCCCCCGATGCCTCTGGAGCCGACAAACGTGTGGGCTGAACATCAGGCAGAAACTTGCCTTCGGGCGCCGGTGAGAGCCTCCCCCAGAGAAGCAGCTGAAGCCCAGTTGCTGGAGACATTTGCAACCAGAAGGTAGGGGCCTGGGCTAACACCCGAAAGAGCAGTGGGCCGTGGAGTGGGGAGGAAGCGCTGGGCAAGTTGGCCTGACAACGGTCACTTGCAACTCAATTTCTCGGCTGCTACACTCCAGCCAGCCACAGGTAGCAGAGAGCACTGGCTGGGAGCGAGAAGGGGGAAGTGACTTGGAGTTAATTTAATCTGATTGAGAAGAGATCATTTCTTCCTCCACCCTTCCCCCGTTAAATAAACCTCCTGCTCATTTAGTCTGAGTGGCTGCAATCAGCCTTAGATTAGCGCCACAGATAATGTTAATAATATGCTAATGTTTCATTAGCTGAAAGCCTCTTTGATGCATGGGGTTTCTTTTTTTATTTCCCGGCGCTGTGCCGACCTGCCAGTCAGCATGGCTGGTAAAAGGAGAAAACTCATCAGCTGGGAGTCCTGTGGTTCTCTTCTGCTGTGCCTTTTATAGTCCCTCGTATTAGTGCAGAAGAAGGGGGGGGACAATTCCCCAGGGGACCCTCCCCAACAGGGTGACTCAGAGGATAAAAGCATCAGGGATCCTCTCGAGAGAGAGCTCTGTTCTATTCCAGTATGTGCAACAAGAGTGGGAGGGAAGTGCTGCCCAGTGGTTGGAGCAGAGTCAGGCTATGCCACTTACTCCCCCACTAGATGCTCGTGTGGCTCCTGTCGCCTGCACCCCATGATCCTTGATGGCTCTATCGCCACAGTGCCCCTGGGAACTACTGTGAACCCCCCTTCTCAGAGGCACAGAGACTAAGGGGGTGTCTATATCGCCATCACAGGCTGTGATTTCAGCTGGAGTAGACACGCCAGTGCTAGCTTCTATCCAGCTTGCTCAGGTGCTACAGCCATGAAGCATCAGCGACACAGGCCTTGTGACAATTACATGCCTAATTACCCACGGTCCTGGGCATGGCCTGCGCCGAAGCTTGATTCGGCCCAGCTCGGGTATATCTCCAAGCCACAATCACACCCAGGAGACACGTGCCCGCTGAGCTTTTCCGCAGAGGATAATGGGAGTCCGTGGCAGAGCTGGAGACGAACCCAGCTGTTGCCTTACCCACTGACTGTCCTCCCTGCACATCAGAACCCCAAACCCGGTCCCCTCTACCCGGGACAGAGAGCAGGGCCACGCCGGGGGAGCTCGCACTGACCAGTTGCTCTTCCAGGTGTGCCGCACATGGGGGTCGTGGATGTTGTGCTTGTCGGCCTGCTCGTCCAGGAAATCAAACATGTACTTGATGGCGAGGGGCAGGGCGCTGCCGCGATGGGCCGTGCTGAAGATCGTCTCAAAGAGGTCGTCTACAAACTTCTGCAAAGTGCCCTGTTGGGAGGTTAGGGGGGAAGGGAGGAAGGAGAAGAGCATGAGACACCATCCTGGGACCCGCTCTCGGTCTTGGACCCAGGCAGCAGCCTCAGCAAGCATCCATGGATGGAGCAGGCCAGGGACGCGGCCCCTTCTCTCTCCTTCGAGTTTGTCCCTTTGCGGAGGTGGAGAACTTCACCCTGCCTGGCTTCAACAGATATAGGGAAGTGTTTGATTGGCGGTGTTGTTCACCGGGGCCCGTCTTTTGGCCCCCAAGTCCCAGAATGTGGAGGGATGTGTGAGCAGAAAAACCCCATATCGCAGAAAGGGTGGGGAGGTTTCCGGTTTGGGGTCAGATCTTCCACCGGTGTCACCTGGTGATGCTCCAGGGAAGTCGGGCTCCCCCAGTGTGTGGTGGGGAGTGGAGAGGTGGGTGTTTTGCATGCAAGACAGTCCAACCTGTGCACTGAGCAACACTCCTGCTCCCGATGGGGTTTTGCCACCCTCTGCGCAGGGAGCAGGCCCTGAAAGATCACGCAGTGCTCTGGGGCCGCCGTGCGGATGTCGGGATAGGCTTGTGCAGAGCCTGGGGAGGGTTCCCGTGCTCCCATAGGGGAGAGAGCCCAGATCGGGCTGAGAACCATCATGAAATGGGACGATCTGAGTGTGAGGGGTCTGGAGGGCAAGTGGGTATGTTCACTTAATACCCCAACATCTTCCGTGGCCCCAGGGACCCCCCTGTGGGTGATGGACACCCTAAAACCACCCCCAGGCTCCAGATGTGGCCTCACCAGAGCCAACGTGGCTGCTATGCTATGGTTGAACTGCGAGGGTTGTGTAGGGGCTGTGCAGCGTGACAAGTCCTAGCCTGTGTCCCCAGCACTCCTCCTTTGTCACAGCTAGGAAATCAGCCCTGACGCCCCTTTAATGACTGTAACTGCGTAACGGGATCGGCTCCGACAATGAAAAGTTCCCTGCAATGACCAACGTTCCTCCTTTCTCTGCACTGGCACGAGGAGAGTCCCTGTCCTGGAAGTGGAGAGACAGGTCCCGCCAAGCTGGGGGGAGTTTACCCAGCACTAAACCAACACACCGATGCTTAATGAACAGGCTGGAGTCCCTTGCCGATTCCCCATTTGATTTCTGCTTGGAGAAACAAACACAGAGAGGCTGAGCGCCGGCTTGCCAGAGCTCCTGAAAAATGAGCAAAGCCCAGGTCTGAGCAAGGAGAGGGCCCCGAAGGGGAAATTTGACCCAGAGGAGCTGCCCTCTGGATCTGTTTCCAGGGGGAATTGGTTCTCTCCAAATTGCCCAGCCAAATGCAAAGAAACCCTCCAAGGCTTTTAGGCAAAGGATCCCAGTGCTCCGAGGTCAGGGTACAAACCTCTCTCGGTGTAACTAAGTATTCCCCAGGACTGCGTTGGCAGCTATGGCACTCTCTCCTCTCTCCCTCAGAGGGGAGGATGGAGAGAGGCAAAGTCTCTCATACGAAGTGCAGGGGGGGAAAACAGCCTTTCCAAGTCTCTGTTGCTGTGTCAAATTCACCGCCGGCTCCCAGCTTGGCTCGCAAGGGAGGGCAGACGGGACAGGCAGGAGCTGGAGTTCTCTTTGTGGTCTGCTGGTATCTGGGCTGAACACCAAGCGTGTGCAGCGGCAGCCAAGCCCCCAGCAGGGGTAAATCAAACCTGCTCCGACGACTGCTGCTGTACGTCAGCTGGGGAACTCACCCCGTCAGGGTGCCCTTTATTTTTCCCTTGCTGGACCCTCATGGCACCTAGACGCCACAGGGATGGGCACGTTCCAAGTCAGACAGAGCCACTGCATACTCTGTGCCTGAGCCGCCGACAGCGGTGACGGGGGCGAGAGGGCAATCGCCCCGGGGCCCAGGGTATTAAAAGGGCCTGGGCTTCCCGGCTGCTAGCATGGCAACAGCAACAGCGGTTTAAATCGCTGCTGGAGCCTTGTGCGGCGCGGTCCAGGCAGCACCGCGGGCTGGCTGGGACAGGCGCAGCACAATCTCTGCATGATGCTGGAGGCGTGTTGCCCTAGTCCCGCCTCCCCTGCCTGAGGCCCCGCCCCTTTTGGGGGCGGAGCTGGGCCTCCCCAACATCGTGCATGGCCCAGCGACGTCTGTCACCAGTCCCGCTCTGTGCCCACTGACACAAGAGTAACTGGATTAGGGATTGTTATTCGGTTGCCGGGGAGTCAGACACCAAGGGCACAGGGGGAACAGCAGAGCAGGACTTCGATGTGTCGATGGGGGTCCGCGTCCAGCCCCAGACTCTGGGCGTGGGTACACTCGATGATGGACTTCACCACCGTTGCATTTCCGCCGGGAGGGTTGTAAACCCCCCGAGCCCGGTCTACACTGCAGCTTCCACCGCTGCCAGGGCTGCCCCGGGAGGTTCTGAAATCTGCCCCACCACCCTGCCGCCGGATGTGGCCCATGCACTAGGCGAGTCTCTCCCTCGGGCAGTGACGACGGCCCCGCTTCATGTCCCTCGTCCCCAGGATGCTGCACACACTCCGGGGGCCAGAGAGCAGCAGGCCAAGCGCCCTCTCCAATCAGGAGCAGGCGCACAAAGCTAGCTGCCGTGCCCCACTGCGCAGCGCTACATGTTCCCGTCCAGGCAATGCTCACAACGCACGGATGTGCGTTAGGTGCCTGCAACTCAGTGAGCAGTGCTGCAAACTGCCCGCCCTGCCTTGGGGAAGGGGACAATTTCCATTTTCGTGGGTGGACTATGAAACCCCCCCATCCGTGGCCTCTGAAATGAGACCACCTATGGGGGGAAGGAATACCGAATGGAGGATACCGGGATTAGCAGCTGCACAGCTGAGCCAGATCTGCGGCAGCTTTGAGGAGTCAGCCATGCGATGCGGTTGCAAGCAAAGCACACGCCGCCTGGGGCTGCCTTCACAGAGGCGTAGCGTGCAAGTTACAGCCCAGGCTCTCGCTAAACTATTCGTTCGCATTGCCAGAAGCCACCGTTCCTTCTCTGGCACGTTGTCCAAGCCTGCATCCCTTCCCTCTTGACTACTATAACCTCCTGCATCCCGGCCTCCCCTCTGCTCCCCTCCCTTGCAGTGCAGCTGACCTGAACCGGGGCTCCTAGCGCCACCTTCCTCTCCCATCACGCTGGTCACATTGTCTCGCCACCCTTCAGAATCCTCCGCTGTCTCCTAAATTCCAGCTGCTCCCCTTCCAGGCCTGCTCCTCGGGTGCGTCGACACTGCAGTCCTAGCTCAAAATGAGCTATGCAATTGGAACTGTGCCAGTTGCGTACCTTATTTTGAGCTTATTTTGAAAAAGTCTACTTCAAAATTCCAAGACAGACCACTTTTCCTACAAGTCCCTCAATCCTCGTGGAATGAGGTTTACCGGGACGGCAGAACAACGCGCCTGTTATTTCGATTACCTTTTCGAAATAACGGGCACGCTGTCAAAACGCAGAAAAGGCTTCTCTCCAGGCTTCCCCTAACAGCGGGAACCATCTCTTCTCTCCTGCCCAGGAAGAGCCCCTTCTCCTCCTTTGAGCCCTTTGAAGCTCGCCTCTCTAAAGTCCCTCCGCCCTTCTCCAGCATAATACCTTGGTGGCTAGCAGCCTGGTCAGGTAGATCTCAGACACCATCTTGCTGCCCCGGTCGCCCTCTTTTTGGTCTCCGTGCTCATGGTTCTTGACTAGATGCCACATCTTGACTCCGCTCTCCAGATCAGGCGTGATCATGGGGGTGCGAGAGCGCAGGCTGTCCGGGCTGCCCGTGTAGCGGATCATATTTTCTGGAACACAAAGCCACAGCTCGCACAAGATACAATCCTCCCCCTTCAAGAAGAGGCGGCCCCAGGAGAGCCGATGTGTTTTCCCAGGGAAATACTCTGTGGTTGTTTCTGCTTTAAAAATACAGACCCGCATCTCCCGCCATGGCTGCCTCAGCTGCACCTGTTAACAGTTGCACAGGTCTAGGTGTTCAGAGGCAAAGCAGGCCCCGAGCAGATACACAGGAAAACTTGCCTACAGTCGTTCAGTCGGGCTGGGGAAGAGTCTCCAAGGGAAAGGCTGGAGGCCTCATTCCCCGGCACAACAGCACAACTGCTGCCAGGCTGGGCAAGACACGAGGCCGTTTAGAAAAGGGGATGCTCAGCTCCCACGACGGCACACAAGTTGTTGCTGGGTCAGGGCAGGCAGCTGCTGCTGGAAACAGGGTCCTGCCAGAGCGGGATCCTGAAAACCCGCAGCTCCACTTGGCTGCAGCAGAAACCGCAGGCGACGAGCAGCCATCTGGACGAGGCCCACGGGGCTTCATACTCCAAGGGCTTCATACCCTGCGTGCTGGGCTTGGGACACAGCCATTTGCTCCCCTCTTCCCTGAAGACACCCCACTCACTCCCTACCCCTGGGTCATTCCCTCCTCCAAAGGGTGCTGCTCAGCTCATTGCAGGCAGCACCACGAGTCCCCAGACCTGCGGCTGTGGATGGCATGACACCCCATTGAAGGCCACCTTTACTCTCCAAAGATACTGCTTCCCATCTCCCAGGCCCAGAGTGACAGTCCAGGCAATCCCCCTGACCCTCCCGCAATGCTACAAGTGGACTGTATTTCAACTGTAATTAACACAGGGACGCTGCCCCTTCTCATCGCAGGGTCTGACGCAGCCTCATTAATGCATTACCAGCCTCCCTGTATTAATTACTGGCTGGAGTATCCATGGTCACCCCAGCTAATGCTCCTTTTGCTGCAATTAACAATCACTTCTGATCCACCACACTCCCCCCCTCCTCAGCCCTTCTCCTCAAAACCCCTAGCACAGAACTCCAGAACTATAACAATGAAACTAGCCCAAAATCCGTCTTTGCAAAGGTCGCCGTGTCCTTCCCTAATTGCAACGATGCTGCAAAGAGCATGAATATTAATAAGGCTTGGTGCACTGCTCATGTCCTTGGAGTAAGGGGAAACAGGCTCCTCTGGACATTGAGTAACTGTGTTTCCCCCAAGCTACAAGAAGATGAGAAGGATCAGACTTACTTTCATATATTTAAAATAAAAAGTGGAGGAGGCAGGTGGCTCGAGGGAGGGCTGGTTTGTATCACTCTCCTGCAGCAGCCTGGCAACTCATTTCCCTCTAACCCTCACTCCCGGGTGTTCTTCTCCGGTCGGAAGTCCAACCGATGGGCAGCCAAGCACCAGGGTGGATACGCTGGCGGTTGAGCTGGGTTTCATGACTCAGGAAAGCTACGGTCTATTCTGGGCTTTGCAGGAGAATTTCCATGTGACTCACTTTACCTCGTCTATCGCTCGCCTCAGTTTCCCCCTGTGTAAAAGGGTCCTAATGGGACCTGGGCTGCTCAGTAAAGCGCTTTGAGGGCGAATGCGCTAGAGAAGTGCTAACTTTTACTGCTCTTGGTGTTATCTCACCCAGGCCGCAGTCCCATAGACTCTGCTACTCAGAAGGACTTCACCTTTGGACTGTCTGACACTTTTCATCTGCACTTCATAGAATCATAGAATCCCAGGGCTGGAAGAGACCTCAGGAGTCATCGAGTCCAGCCCCCTGCCCAAAGCAGGACCAACCCCAACTAAATCATCCCAGCCAGGGCTTTGTCAAGCCGAGACTTAAACACCTCTAGGGATGGAGATTCCGTCCCCTCCCTAGATAACCCATCCCAGTGCTTCCCCACCCTCCTAGGGAAATAGTTTTTCCTAATATCCAACCTAGACCTCCCCCATCACAACTTGAGCCTATTGCTCCTTGTTCTGCCATCCACCAGTACTGAGAACAGCCTCTCTCCATCCTCTTTGGAACCTCCTTCAGGGAGTTGAAGGCTGCTCTCACATCCCCCCTCACTCTTCTCTTCTGCAGAACTACACAAGCCCAAATCCCTCAGTCGCTCCTCACAGGTCATGTGCTCCAGCCCCCTCATCATTTTGGTCGCTTTCCGCTGGACCCTCTCCAATGCGTCCACATCCTTCCTATAGTGGGGGGGAGGGTCAGAATTGGACACATGTGACCTCACCAGAGCTGAATAAAGAGGAATAATCACTTCCCTAGATCTGCTGGCAATGCTCCTCCTAATGCAACCTAATATGCCATTAGCCTTCTTGGCTACAAGGGCGCACTGTTGACTTATTGGGCAACTGCTGGTTAGCTGTCACAGGCTGTTCTCTTTGCAGGTGTTTTGCATGCACCCAGCATCTCCCCACCAGCGTGGCCACCAATATCGCCTCTCCACTGGCCTCTCTAGCATGCCTCAGCAAACAGGCCCTTACCATACTTGCTAGCTGAGGTCCTGGAGACCGTGGAGTTGTTGACAGCATTGTAGGCAGTGACCTGCTTGGACACCAGCGCTACCACGGACCCATCTGGCACCTGCAAAGGAAAGAGAATGGACCAATAAACCTCCCGGAGCCGGCCCAAAAGCATGCACAGGAACATAAAGGAAACCCAGCCAGTGAAACCGGAGCGACCAATGACTATCACGATTGGAGGGATCTCATCATTAGCTGTCTTTGGGCCCACCCCTGGAAACCCTTCTGCATGGGGGTGGGGACAAACGCTGCTCTCAGCACCCCAGTGCAGTTCTGGAATCACTCTCCTCAAGTCAATGGGCTTATTTTTAACAAGGGAGACTCTGGCCCATTGATCCAGAACTCACAGCTACCAATGGGAGCCCTTCCCTTGACTGCGAGGAGCTTTGGATCACGTCTTGAACGGGGGACTCTCACGAGCACGGATTTGTAGGACAAGGACATGGAATTCAGTCCAGGGCCGTGCCTTTGTACATATCTATACAGTGCCCATGCAATGGGCTTATCTTTAACACACAGCAAAGTGCCATTTCTGGTGGCCCAAAGGTCCAAGACATGAATTCTTCTAGCCAACGAGGGTCTCAAGTGTCTGAAATAGGGGGCAGCTAGAGCTGGCGAGCCAAGCTCAAGACACATCAGGTTCTGAGGTTCACAGAATCTCAGCAGTTGTTCTCACCAGGCTCCACTAGTGGGAATTTAATGAGAGCAGCGGATCTTGCAAGTTTTCTATCCTTTGGGGCTGAAATCTGATTGCAGCCTCATCTAAGAGGGGGGAGGGGGGAAGGCGTGGAGAACAGGTCCCCCTGAAGTGATGTATCCAAACCAGGAATAGTGATGGGTTAGGAGTTGGGAATTCAAATCTTTCTACGTTTCCAGGGGGTTGGATCTGAGCTTCTGATTCAGGCTATCTTCATGGGAAAAAGAAAGATTCAGCGCAGAAAAAGAAGCTGGTCTTCACAGAGACAGTAAATTCACAAGGGTGGTTTGGCACCGAGACCTATAAGAACATAAGAACGGCCATACTGGGTCAGATCAAAGGTCCATCTAGTCCAGGATTCTGTCTGCCGTCAGTGGCCAATGCCAGATGCCCCAGAAGGAGGGAAAACAACAGGGAATCGTCCGTGATCCTCCTCCTGTCACCCATTTACAGACAATCAGAGGCTAGGGATACCATTTCTACCCATCCTGGCTAATAGTCAGTGATGGACCTAACCTCCATGAATCTGTCTAGCTCTTTTTTGAACCCTGTTAAAGTCCTAGTCTTTACCACACCTTCTGGCTAGGAGTTCCACAGGCTGGCTGTGCGCTGAGTGAAGAAAAACTTCCTTCTGTTTGTTTTAAACCTGCTGCCTATTCATTTCATTTGGTGACCCCTAGTTCTTATCTTGTGAGAATAAGTAAATAACTTTTCCTTATTCACTTTTTTCACACCAGTTATGATTTTATAGACCTCGATCATATCCCCCCTTAGTCTCCTCTTTTCTAAGATGAAAAGTCCAGGTCTTTTTAATCTCTCTTCATATGGGACCCATTCCAAACCCCTCATCATTTTTGTTGCCCTTTTCTGAACCTTTTCCAATGCCAAGATATCTTTTTTGAGATGAGGTGACCACATCTGCATGCAGTATTGAAGATATGGGCGTACCATGGTTTTATACAGAGGCAAAAAGATATTCCCTGTCTTAGTCTCTATCCCTTTTTTAATGATTCTAACATTCTCTTGGTTTTGACTGCCGCTGAACACTGAGTGGATAATTGCAGCGAACTATCCACAATGACTCCAAGATCTCTCTCTTGAGTAGTTGTAGCTAAATTAGTCCCCATTATATAGTAGAGTTGGGGTTATGTTTTCCAATGTGCATTACTTTACATTTATCAACATTCAATTTCATTTGCCACTTGGTTGCCCAATCACTTCCTTGGGTGAGAACTTTTTGAAGCTCTTCACAGTCTGCTTTGGTCTTAACTATCTTGGGGGCTACGTCTAGACTGGCATGATTTTCCGCAAATGCTTTTAACGGAAAAGGTTTCCGTTAAAAGCATTTTCGGAACAGAGCATCTAGATTGGCACGGACGCTTTTCTGCAAAAGCACTTTTTGTGGAAAAGCGTCCATGCCAATCTAGACGCGCATTTGCGCAAAAAAGCCCCGATCGCCATTTTCACGATTGGGGCTTTTTTGCGGAAAACAAATCTGAGCTGTCTACACTGGCCCTTTTGCGCAAAAGCTTTGCGCAAAAGGGACTTTTGTCCAAATGGGAGCAGCATAGTATTTCCACAAAAAGCACTGATTTCTTACAGTAGGAAGTCAGTGCTTTTGCGGAAATTCAAGCGGCCAGTGTAGACAGCTGGCAAGATTTTCCGGAAAAGCGGCTGATTTTCTGGAAAAACTGGCTAGTCTAGACACAGCCGAGCAGTTTGGAAACAGCTGGGACTCAGTTCCTGGTAGTGCCCCTCACAGACTGAAATTAAGTTACTCTGCCCAGGCCTGACAGCAAATGAGTTGAGTCTGGTGCTCTCTCCCCATCCCCAACACGCCTCGCAGACCACTCTCCATCTCAGTGGGCATCACAGGTACAAGGTGACAAATTGCCTCCTGCTGTGGCACAGGGCATTGTCACTACTGTCAGAAGGAAGAAATGGGGTGTCTGTAGCTGGCGGGTGGATGTCTGTTGTGCTTCACCACCGCACTGTGCTGCAAAAAGTCCCACCCAGCAGAGCAAAGCAGGGAGAGAGCCTCTTGAAAAGAGACAAACCTTCCGAGCCATTCGCGAGGCGTTTGTGTGGCTCCTTTTCCAAAGCCCGTGAAACAACGAGCAGTTCTGAGCCAGTGGGGAAGCAAAGCTGCGTCAGGAGCATCTTGGAGAAACAGAAGTTCTAGAAAGCCGAAGAAAAGTGCTCCTCCCCCCCCCTTCCCACTTCCAAATATGCAAAGAGCCACTTGCTCGGTAATAATAATAATTAGCACTTATGCAGAAGCTTTTCCTCTTTGAAGCACTTTACAGATACTAATTAGCTCTCTCAACACCTGTGTAAGGTCTCTGTGCTATTATCCACATATTGCAGCTGGGAAAGGGCCAGGTTTGTAAATGTATCCAGGCATCTAAAGATGCAGTTTGAGACTGAGGGATGCTCTAGAGCGTGCCGGTACCAAACTCGCGCTGATATCAGATGTTTAACAGGGAGGGCAATTCACCCCTGGAGCAACCGCCCAGGGCTGGGGTGGATTTGTAAAATCAAGCCTGGATGTTTTTCTGAAAGTGCTGCGCTAGCTCAGACAAGGGACGCTCCATGGCCAGGGTTCCACAGGGGATTGCTCTAGGCCATCACAAGCGGCCCTTCGGATTTGGCAGGCTAGGAACTAGGGGCATTTCAAAATCCCACTCGGTACGTCTCTACATCCTTAGGCATCTAAACATCTGGGGCAACCTGGTCCTCCCTGCCATGCCCAGGGAGTCAGTGGCCCTCTGTGGCTCTGCTGAATCCAGCAATTTGCACCAGCTGAGATCTGGCCTACAGCGTGTACCCACTGTAGATCTCAAGGCACCTTCCAACAGTAGGAAAGTACAGCTGTCCACACTGGTTAGTATCAGTACCCACTCAGAGAAGTGATGCCCTTGGTAGAGACAGTATCAGAGCTAGGACTAGAACCAGGCTCTGGTGCTCTCACCACTAGGCAAAGCTGCTATCTAGTCCACTGCTCTCCCTCCTCTCATCCCCCTGCTTCTAGACAACAAGCCTCAGTGCCAAGGGCGACTAGTGTCTAAGAGCCTTTGGAGCAATGGCCTTTCCCTCCAGGAGAAAAATGCATCATTCCCCTGCCCCCATCTGAAGAGAATTAACTCGTGTCCTTCTCATCTCGGCTTCTGGTCTATTTCTAATCTCTCATTCCCGCTGCCCCTTCCTCTGCGCTGAAGCAGCAACCTCCCATGTCCTTTAAGACCAGTACATCCTCCCCTTTAAGACGCTGGTGGTTTAGCTCTCCCCTTGGCCCCATACCGACTAGCTGACAGGAGGACTTTTATTAGACATCTTTGGACCTATAACTAGGACCTGCAGCATGGACAATGCCAGGACCAGTGGCCTGGGAGAGAGGTACAGGGCCGCATCCTTCCCAGTGATTGGCAGCTGTCAATCTTTGTCCCTGAAAGCAAAGTTGTTTGCTCTTCTCTTGTTCCCCTTTCCGACCCTGATCTGCCCCCTTCCCAGACAATCCCACAGAACTCTCCCCGAGATTGTTGTGGGGAGGCAGGGTGGGAATCTCACTAAAAGGGGAATCATGGGAGGTGGGTGTTAGAGCTGGCTGTCCACATTTGTTCGGAACGTTTTTTTTGTTGGACAATGCTGATTCGACTATGTTGATTTGTGCGTGTGCGAAACTGCACCCATTTGGATGAAGTTTCTCGCAAAAGCACCTCTCTTCGAAACAAAAGCAAAACTGCTTTGAAAAACGTGGTGTAGGAAAAATCTGAAATTTCATTTGGGGAACAAAAATCATGTTTCAAAATTTTTTTTTTGAGTATTGACTGTATTATTTTTTCTATGTTACTTCAAGAGCCATCAGGACCAGCAGAGAATGCAATCAAGTTCTCCTCTGACATGATACGATAACAGAAACCGGTTTTGTGGAACGCTCATGTAGTAGTATTTATTTTTGAAAAGCCATTCCGGGCACCTGCTACCCAGTTCCACTTGAATCATCTGATGCTGTTTTCTAGATCAGAGTGTCTCCCGGTTGTGTTGTAGCAAAGCAGTCTGACACTTTGCAGGGGAAGGGGAGGGGGAGGAAAGAACTTATTTACAGTGCGTCATTGCCTAGGATTGCTCTTTGCTTGTTCCAGCCCCAGATCTGACAGGGCTGGCAGGGGAGCAGCAGCTCAGATGATGAGAGCAGAAGTGTAACACTCCTGTGAAGAAAGAGAGAAGGTGCAAAGCGACTGTGTTAGGAGGTGCAAAGAGGCTGTGAGAGGAGACCAGATGGTGCAACCATGAGGGTCTTTGGGTGAGCTCTGTCAGGGGCCGGTAAAGAAGAGGTAGAAGGGTTGGGCAGAGAGGGGGAGGTCTTGGCAGTACCAGTCCAGTTGATTGGCACTGCACCCTGCTAGCAGAGGCAGGTAACTTGGCCAGGCTGGTGCCCCTGGCAGAGGTCTCCTGTCCTGTTCCCATTACCTGGTAGTGCACCAGGGTGTTGAGTCTCTTCCAGTCGTTCTCTATCTTGGTGGTGATGTCTTCATCCTGATGGATCATTCGGGCCCCACTGGCCTGCCGCCACTCTGTAGGGAGAAAGGGCACATTTCACCCAAA